GAAGTAGATAAACTCGTTCAACTGGCAGATGAGCACAAGATCAACTTTGATTTGGTCAAGTCTGAGCTTTTAATAATAGGTGGCGGACCAAGAAAAAAGTTGGACACGTCAGGCCTTGCAATCCAGATGAAAGGTCTCAATATCTCCCCATCTCCACACGTGAGATGGCTTGGAGTATGGCTTGACTCCCAGCTTAAATTTAAGCAGCACGTGCAAGGATGGTGCGGGAAAGCACAGCGTGTAACACAGTTCATACGGCGTATTAATACGGTTCAGCGTGGCATAGCACCAGGACCAATGGTTAAAGCTGTTCACGCCTGTGTCCTAAGTACGGCACCGTATAGAGCGGAGGCATGGTGGCCTGGCCTAGCCCAAATTACCACGCGGCGAGACAAAAAAGTTGGCACCGGAGTTGGCTGGCATACAGATCTGTTGGACAGAACAATTTTAAAGGCAGTCAGAGCGGCACTACCTGCTTGGCGCATTACCCCTAACTCGGCTCTCCGAAGAGAATCAGGTATTCCACCGGCAGCAATCCTTTTGGATCAGAGGCAACTTCGGTCAGCAGCGTGCATCCAACGACTGGACGTATGGCACCCTCTATCCCTGAGGGCTAGGGAGCTACCGATCGATGTTATAAAGCGTCTCGAGCTCCGAACAGGCCAGAAAGCCCGACCTATCACTGTTCCAGAGCGCTATATGACACGACTCCAGAACAGTGCTCTAAATGTACCAATCACTGAAGGTCCTGGAAAACTTCCTTACCCATCAACCTACCTTACCAAGTTCTCACCGGGTCTCGATAGGAAGAATGAGTCGGAGTACCCGAAGAAATAGATAGAAAATCTCCCGACAGAGACTGTATGTACCTATTCAGATGGCTCTTCAATCAACCCAGCGATATCTGCATGGGGATACGCCCTATATAAAGGAAGCAGGCTGATTGGTAGCGGTGCTGGAATAGTTCTAGGAGCAGAAGTATACGACGCAGAACTTGTGGGCGCTCAAAAAGCCCTTGAATCAGCTGTGGCTCTAGCAGGAGGTTGCCCTATTAAGATGCTCCTCGATAACTCTGAAGCTGTCCGCTCCCTCAAAACAGGACGAAGTAAGTCGTCCTAAGCTACAGTCGACAAAGTTACAACTCTCCTACAATCAAAAGAGTTAGTAGAGATCCGATGGATCCCAGGCCATTCTGGCATTATGGGGAATATCCATGCGGATAAAATGGCTAAATCAGCTTTGAAAGATTTTCCATTGGTCTCTAATGCCACGTTCACTTCAAGAACAAATCAAGGACAAGTATACACTTTCGCAGATCTAAATCGATATCTTAGAGACTGTGCTGAGGAGACCGTCGATTCTTGGTGGAGAGAGAACAGACCCAGTCGATACAAAGACCTGGATTTGTTGATGAAGCGAAAACGACCACCAGAGCTCGCTCTTCCAAGATGGGCGTATCATCGTCTGATAGCAGCTAGGACTGGTCATGGAAATTTTGCCAAGTATCACAATAGGTTTCATCACGAAGGAATAGACCTTATGTGCAAATGTGGCCGAGAAAGATGCCCGTGGCATTTCTCTGAATGCCGGACAGCGCTAAATGAATGGCGGAAATAAACATAGGAAATAATACCAAGTATATGGACAATGTTGGGAGAAAAGGAATGAATAGCTTTTTATAGATTCCTTACCGTAACAGGATGCTACGAGGTGAAAAGTAGGACTTGAATGACCGAGATTTTCTGGGATACATATTGTACAGGAAACTGCTATGAGATAGCTGGCTAGGCGCAGGGCGTTATGTCAGGGCGGAAAAGTTTCTGATGAAATTTTTGTCTTTATTAGATCATGTAAATTTCTGGCCACATAAAGCCAGCATCAGTGGTGTTTGTGGGTCCCCCCGGGAACACGCACCCGTATCAAGCCTCCTGGGTGTAGGGCTTTAGCCTGATACGTTAAATTATTCAATTCAATTCACCACGCATGATGAGATTGAGGCAGAGTCATATACGCTTAGTATTGTGTCACAGTTGTGACCCTAGGGTCTGGTAATACGAAGGCAACGGTAGATGTAACTGACTCAATGAGTCTCAGTTTACGATCGATTTTTTTTGCATCAGATTTTAAATTTCGTATGCAGATATCTAAACATGATACACTATCAAAGGAAAGTACACAATAGATGACTCAATTATAACTAAAGCACTATGCTTCGGATTTCGTTTGCAAGTACCACTGCCAAGTTATGTTGGCTCTTTCTTCACTCCAAGTCAACCCTCATCCGTGAATACCCACTCAGGAGAATGTCTCATAAACCTTGGGTTATCCAGAAATGCCTCCACCATCCATTTACTTTTCTACGCGCGATATATGGTATGAGGCTTCTCCTCCCTAAGTGGAGTAGGTGCCCAGGCTACTCAAACCATACCGGAGAACACCACCATAAGTTTAAGATCAAGTAGCACTTGAATAGTCGTGTGGAGTGAAGGCTCGCACTAGAGACCTGTATATGATGTAGCGACTTATTTTTGTCTAGATAGAAGCAAGCAAGCAATTAAGCTATCAATCGAATATTATCAGTATCAATATTCATATCATTCTTGTATCATCAATTACACGATAATATTCCAATAGTATCCTCAAGATGTACCATTGCATACAGTTTATGTTGATATGCATGAAAATTTCTATATTTTTGCTAATTCATGAGATGCTCCGATAACCAAAGATCTTAAGCCTTCCCATTGTTGGTAACTTGTTGATAAGAGCGCCTGGTTTGTGAGAACAGGAATACTTCAATGTGGTAATATTTAATTAAAGCTAGAATATGTGTCTCTGAAATCAAAAGAGCCATCTAATTTGTCTAGGAAGCACTATTCGTGTATCCTTGTGACGGGCTTTGCCCGGATTTGGACTGGTCACTCGGACCACTCCATCTTCGAGGTTAGACTGTGGCAGAGCAGCGCTCTTTGAAATGCGAATAGGGCGCACAAGGAGGTATCAAGGGGGGTACGTACCAGATGGGGAGTATGGTACAGGAGAGGAAGTGAGCCGGGAAGAAAGTATGACTCTCAAGTGGCCAAGTGTCAGGCGCAGGTTCACTAGGCGCTAGACGCGAGGCATAGGAGAAAGCGTGGTCCGCGAGTTACTAAGGAAGGACGGCCCGTAGGAATGCGGAGGGATTTCTAGAGAAATGGTAAAGGGGAACGTGGGGGTCGTTTTAGATGGAGTAGCCGGGGGTGGCGGTAGGTCACAGAGGGTGGCTGAGGTCGAGAGGTGTGATCAGAATTATTCAACTTCTCCCAAAGACAGAAAACAAAGCGTGAAAGTCTCAGTCTCGGCAATGAAAACTATTTAATTGTCCTCGCTAGGCAGTAAAGCCTAGTGGAGAGTCATCCAATTTGTTTACATAGCACAGGTCATGTGTCATAGATTTACAGCTGTATACATATTAAATGATTTAAAAAAAAAGCCCAGTGGAGTGGTGTTCTCCGGCATGGTTTGAGTAGCCTGGGCACCTACTTCACTTGGGAAGGAGACAACTAAGACCATAATTCGCGCGGAGAAAAGTTGAAAAATGATGGAGGCATGTCTGGATAACTCAGGGTTTTTGAGACGTTCCCCTGGGTGGGGATTCACGGATGAGGGTAGACTAGGGGTGAAGAAAGAGCCAACATAACTTGGCAGTGGTACTTGCAAACGAAATCCGAAGCATAGTGCTTTAGTTATAATTGAGTCATCTATTGTGTACTTTCCTTTGATAGTGTATCATGTTTAGATATCTGCATACGAAATTTAAAATCTGATGCAAATAAAAAGCCTGGTAAGATTAAACGAGGCACCCGTGAACCCTTACACCAAGAGAGGAAGTCGGGGAGAAAGGCTGATTCTCAGATGGCCAAGATAGAGAGTTAAGACTAGTCTACGCAGAGGATATAAGGGATAGGAGACTACGTTGTAGATTGTCTTCTCAAGGAAGAAGGTATTAATTCCTATCGAGTTATTTTCTTTCAAGTACATCTGAATTCACAAAACCTTTACAGTCATGGCTAGATAGCTGAATACAAATCAAATAATAAAAAAAAGCCTTATAAAGCGAACAATCTTTACAACTCACACTCACTAGAAACTGAACAAATATGTGATGACGGGGAAAATTAGCAAAGAATACTGATTAAGTGAGTCAAGGCACATCAGCACGAAAAGTATGTAATATTTGCATAGAGGATGAGATCGTTTGATAAAAAATTAATATACGCACTATCCAGAAACTAGATATCTTTTTTGAGGTTCACGCATCAGGTTTCGTTAAAAATTATTTTCATTTTTACTTCAAGCCTTTTTTTGAATAACCACTGTAGTAAAAGAATGAATGGCTTCAAACTTACTTGTTCAACTCGTGGTAATTAAAGTGATGAACTTTCGTAGGTATTCCTGCCTACAAAGAGATCAAACCTATAGATCCCTCATTTAAGATCGTCCCATTACATAAATAATTATTACTTTGTAAGTTTTTTTTTCATTTACAGTTTTATTTACCTGAATTAATTTGAGTATATCTTTGCAAATTGGAATATGTCTTTTCTCTTTTTGTTTGATTTTACTCTTGTCTTACGCAATATGTGTTGGAGCTTCTCTACTAACACTGGCAATCTATACCGGAGGTATCTTTTTGTACTACCGTAACTTCATGAACGGATCAGAAGTGATTGAAAATAGTTCTGATAAAACTTTATCGACGTGCGGTCTTGTTGATTTCAATGCGGTATATTATATTCTGAGTTCCCAATTGAGTTGTGTGACTATAATCTAATGAGTATATTTTACAGTGATTTATTCAATTTGGCTAGTTTGATGTTCAAAATATAGCTTTTAGAGCATTTAATCCAAGTAACCGAGCTACTTAGAATCTGTAGTGTTGACAGTCAAATCATGCAAGCTAATTGATAGAAAATGAAGTCATATCTTTCATCATTGTTGGAATAAATTTTGCATTTTTCCTAAGCTTTATTTATTGGTTCTTGTGTAAAAATCTTTTGCCATATCTCCATCCATTTTTGTTGTTGAACGCTGAGCGGTTTCCCTGGATTCTTGAATGATCGAGTCAAAATTTCACGTAATCTTGCCCGAAGAGTTTTCATTGCCAACATTGTTTTCCAATCTGGTAAAGAAAATCTCGCTCTATTTCCGTCAAGGACTATTACACCAGCATAAACCTGATTTACATGAGTACTTAAACTAATATTTAATTCAGCAGTTTTGAAACTTACGTCACAACGAGCATCCCCGCATAACAATGCAACCGCGAAGTCTTCTGTACCCGTAGTTTCATGGGCATTATAAAATCTAAATGAGCTCAGCTAAACTGGTCAGAACTTATGAAATTTTATGAGGTGCTTACTGTTTTGCTTGCATGATATGATAATAAGAGAGCCATTTCAGATCATTATTTCCTTTATTGACTGATGATGGATGAAGACTGATTGATTGGTTGTTGGCGCAGTTTCGGAAACCTTTCCCATCACGAATGAGAAGCTTTGGGTAAAAACTCCACGCAATTACTGAAGAGGTGATTAAATCATTTTCGCTGTTTATAGTTGATCTTCGAGGTAAGTCAAAGAATTGCCTCCGTCGACTTGAGTAGCGAGCTCTAATAATATTAATCTTGACTAATGATGGAATGAGAGTGTATACCTATTCAGACTAGAGCGCTCTGCATCAGTTAGGGGGAGAAACCCAGAATCAACAAGGTAGACTGTAAGTTGACCTTTAAGATCTTCGATATTGGCCAAAGTTTGTGGGCTTAGAAAATGTTTTTTACAGAATTGATATTCAGACGCTCCTGATACGCAGACCCGCTTCCAAGCTAGATACGCGTTGTAAATTGTCAAAAGATCGGAATCTCCTAAGTTAAAAGTAAATAATGAGTATAATAGCATTCCTTGATATGATGATAAGTTGTAGTCGAAGGAAAACATGGTAACTTACCTCTTCGATAGGCAAGTCGAGCATTATCAGCTTGTGATCGTGCTCCGTAAGGTGCCGAGAAGGGTGACTTGGAAGATAAGATTGCAGCTATAGTTGTAGTAGCATCCAGACACTTGAATATACAGCCAAGAAGGATAAGCTTGCCCAAAAATACATCTAGAGGTAGCCTTGCAAGTTGTACACCTAGGGGAGTTAGATCTTCACAGGAAGTTAAAGCTCTAACGTCGATAAGAGCGTCTATTGCTCGGCGGATATTCTTGGGTAAAGGAGGATCAAGAGCCTGGCCTAATGTTTCTTCAATACTCCCGAGTTTACAGATCTTTACACGTATAGCTAAGTCTTGCAGTGATAAGCGCAATAGCTCTGGAGTTTGATGATCGGCCATCTAAACAATTTTGAGTTAGTGAATGCTTCTACTTTATTCAACTCCATTCGAGTACTTACCAGATTATCATGCCGATACTTGGTAAATAAGTGAAAGCATAGACCCTCTTGTACGCGTCCAGCTCTACCTCTTCTCTGCTTAGCATTTGCTTTACTTATAAAGGTTTCGATCAGCCGGGAAAGTTGTCGCCGCTCATCAAACCTAACTAGCGATCAGAAGTTATGATAGATACTTAAGGTATACCAGTTACCTCATCTCTCGGTGCTTTCCCGTATCTATCACACAGGTCACATCTGGAATAGTGATACCAGTTTCTGCGATGTTTGTAGCTAGAATTATTTTCCGCATTCCCTGCTGGGGCAATAAGAACGCTGCCTCTTGATCTTCACTTGCAATCGTTGAATGCAGAAGAAATATGTCCCAATTTGATGAGAAAGTCGCATGTCCCATTAGTATATCGTAAAGTTGTCTTATTTCTGCAAGCCCGGGCAAGAAAACTAAAATTGCCTTGCTGAAAACCTCTAGTCGTTTTTCAGTTGCAATTTTGGCCAAAAGTTGAGTGATTAGCTCGTAGTCAATTCTATACTCGTCTAGCTGCATAATAGTATTTCGAGTATTGTTACTATAACCTCTTAAAGCTTTGCTATTTTCTGACTTGGAAGAGTCACCGAAAATTGGGTCAGGAACATCTAGCTCATCAATATCCGTAAACTTCTCCTGATATTCGTTTTCGGGGGAGTATCCAGTTAATTCTATAGCATCTTCTAGAAACTTTACTTGTACTGGAAAGGTACGTCCTGGTATATTTAAAATCGGAGCTCCATTAAAATATTTTGAAAACCTTTCAGCATCAACAGTCGCTGACATTAATACAATCTTTAGGTCCGGTCTTTTTTCCAAAAGCTTTCGAAGGACTATCAACAAAAAATCACTGTCGATTATTCGCTCATGAACCTCATCCAGAATTATGTGGGTAACTTCTTTGAGAGTATTAGACGCCTCTAATAACCTCATGACGATTCCCGTTGTAGCATAAATAAGTTGCGTTTCTTTTGAGATACTCGATTCTAGTCGAATTGCATATCCAACAAGAGAGCGCGGGGTACCTAAATCATTTTTGCTTTCTCCGAGCTCTTCGCTGACACGACGAGCAAGCGAGATAGCTGATATTCGTCTTGGTTCTGTGACATAAATTTTACAGGCTTTCCCTTGACATAGCTGATTTTCTAGAATGAATGACGGAACCTGAGTACTTTTCCCGCATCCAGTTTCTCCACATATGATTACAACCTGTTCACGATCAATAGTATCTAAGAGTTTACTCTTGAAGCCCCAAATAGGTAACTTCATGCGAGATTGTAACATTATTTGGTAATTCATTGTGCTGGACTTTTCATACCAAGTTCGATAGTAAGATTCCGGTGCTAATTTTTGGGACCTACTAGAGCAGGATTCTTCATCTCCGGGACGAGATGCAATTCTGTTTTTGAATGCACCTTGAAGTAGAACACCATCTTCAAGTTCTCGATCTCTCTTTTCCCTAACCATGTTTCGGAAAACGCGGATAGTGTCACGATCCTCTTGGTCCGCACATTCTTTCTTTTCTGCCGCAAACTCATTCCAGAGATCCTTCCATATAGATGGTAGACGTAGAAAGACCTTTTCTTTCATATTCGAGGAAGCGTAAAGAGAAAAAAGTGCCGTAGTTGCGATGTAAGCTTCAGATTCAGCTGATGTTGGTGTTGATATTTTAACCATGGTAAATGTTTCAGATTCAGAAGATAAAGTGTATTTGATAGCTGCTGGAGGGTTGCTCTCAAGTTGTGGGGGCTTGGACCATGTGATTTTGAGAGAATGACGGTTTGAAAAATAAGTTTTGAGGGTTGGTGTAAGTTTAATTTTAACCGCTGGATCTCTAAGATAGATTAACTTTGGGATTAAAGCAGATACAAAACGAATTTGTATTTACTAACCTGTGTCGACATGTTTCTTCTAAAATCTTGCCAGGGCTGACACCTGACCATTCACCAAATTCTCGGATGATGACTGTAGTGCTGCTATTGTTATTAATAGCAGTCGAAGTTTCGTTAGGGGACTGATCTGCCTGTGTTAGAGGTTGATTATCAAATAAATCTGCCAAAATGGAATCATAATTTTCATCGCTGTTCTCCTTGTCATCATCACCATTATTATCGTTAGCGGTTTTATAATTCTCATTTTTAGAGGCGGAATTCTCGTCAAAATTTTTGTTATTCTCAAGGTTTTGAGCATCCAAAAATTGGGACTGCTGAGATGTACAGTCACTACGTTCGAGGCTATCTTTTGCAAGTCTTGACGCTTCAGCTGCTGCCTCCTTTTCAATTTGGATTCGGATTTTTCTCCATTCTTGCTCTGCAATATACTGATCAAATAGGATATCATCCTCAATTTTCTTAATCTTTTCCATCAATTTTACAGATTTCGAACATTTCGAGGTATTTTTATCTAGTTGTGAGTTACGAGATCCCAATCGTTTTGATTTATGCTTGTTAGAGGCTTTCAGTTCTTGCAGTTTGAAAATCTCTTTCTTACAATCAAGATAGATTGGTAATAAGTCATCTGGATCAATATCACTTTCACAATCTATTTTTGTTGCTTTAACTACAGGAGAAAGTTCTTTTGCCTTGGCGGGAGTAATGCAGCTTGATCCTGTAAGCTTCAAATGTCTTGTGTCGGGTGCAAGAGAAGGGAGAGGTGCTTTCGAAGTTTGTTGATTGTCTAACCCTGTTTCTACTAATAATTAAAAATCTATTGACTTTTCTGACACTTTTACACTTACCAGGTGATGTTTTAAAGGCTCCTCCTACTTTTCGGTTCCATATCTCATATTCAGGGAGCTCATCCCGTGGACACTCTAGACAGAGCCAGTCTAGAGACTCATCAAGCCCCCAAACTATATCTCGGCTTCCAATTCCTATTTTATCTGAATTTTCTAGGACGTAGTGTAATGCCGAAAAAGTATTTTTCTCTGAAAATCCAGCTTCAGCGAGGACCTGTTGTAACTTCCAGAGACGTATTGTAAGGTCTTCGTCTGTAGGCTGCTTGTTGCTTATTACTTTATCTCCCTGTCCTGATATTCGTTTTTCTGCCTTTAGTAGGTCCAATATCTCTTCAACAACTTCTTTTGGGAGCCATTGTTTGTTATGAAACGCTTCTGATTGGCTTCTCAAAACTCTTCGATCCGTTTCAAGCCTTGCCCTTTGTCGTTGAACATCTTTTCTTGATTTCTGAGCATATTTTTCCACGATAAGCTGCAGCTCTGATTCTTCAAGTTGTTTCTCAAATTCTTCTGCTCCTATTGTCTTTTCTGATTCAATATTTGGAGCCAATTCCCCTATCGCTGTTTTTTCTGCACCGGATGTGTGAGCCTGGACTAACTCTTTTGAGGGCGATGATAAAGTCTCAAGTTCAGGAGCTTCAGCTTTAGGCTTCGATGCGATAGAAACTGTGGTAAAGCCTCGAGCTGGATTGGAGGCTATCTTCTTTTTCTTTTTCCCTGCAGCCATCTGGATGTCTCTGTTACTGTTTCGCAGATACGATTGCTCGCGTCTTCGTGAGTGGATAACTTAGTCACGCGCTAGTCTTTGTTGTTGTGATTGTGAGTAATATTTAGACGAACATCATCATTACAGTATTTTCAGACCCACATATCATCGACCATGTGCTATTAAGAGTGAAGTGAGCTAACAAAATGATTGAAGTTGCGCTTACAGACACAGTTACCATATTTCATGATTTTTTGTCCTTAAGAAAACAGCTGCTCTGCTCGTCCACTAAAATTCGTCTTGCATCTCTGCAAGCCATAGAACTTAGACTCAAGGAGCTCGGTGCGTTAGTGCCGAGAGATTTCAGATATTTTCTAACATTATACAAGAAAAAATTGATCCAGATGTCTCAACCCCTCTACTTGATCTTCTCTTCAGTACATATCACTCTTACCATGAACGAAACTCCCGCAGGTCTGTAGAACGATGCATTCGATTAATCTTCAGATCAACAACATCTCCTGAAACATTGGCTTCATTCGTCAGAAAAATCGGGGATGAGTCATCAAAGCATGGAATTGGGCAGACAGATGCTCTGATCTTGGTCAAATGGTGCAGCGCGATACTTCAGGAAATTTCCGATTTAACAACATGGCAAATCTGGGGCTACGCGATATTAGAATGTAATGCACGAGCTCTCGAATCATGTGTTGCGACCGAACACAGACCCCAGGTCAAGAAATCAGCCTACAACAGCACTCGGCGTGGTCTCAAAGGAGTTTTGTCCAAAGATCCCTCAGGAAGTAGAATGTGTGAGGTCATAGCAGAATTCTGTTCTAAGTCATCACCCGTATATGCAGTAATGCTCGGGATGATCGCTGGAGTTTGCGCAGACAATCTAAAGGAAAGCAAGCAACTTGAGACGATGAAGCCAGAGTTCTATGCATTCTACCTTCGTGAAATTATTGGTTCTAAAACGAAATTACCATCTCATCAAGCTGCTGCAATGGCAGATTATTTTTCAAATTTTGCACAAGAGGACGAAATTCAAAATATAGTTGCACCCGCGCTTGAAAGGGCCATTCTTCGTGCTCCAGAGGTTGTTCTTAACGATTTAATTCGGCCACTTGTTATTTCGCTTCCCTCATCTATAGATCTTTCTAACACCCTCCAAAAAAATCTTTTAAAGCCCTTGCTATCTAACATAAGATCATCAAGTTCAACGACGCGCCTAGGTTCCCTCCTAACTTTTAAGTCCATTGCTTACAGGAGCCGTGATCCGGAAATTTCTACAAAAATCTGTGAAGAGATTCTCAATCTTTTAGAACATGGAAAAACACATTCTGCGGATCAGAGGGCCAGCTATGCCGAGATGCTCGCTGCTATTACAATACCCAAAGATTCTATCTCGAAACTTTGTGTATCTCTTGCTCTCCTCGCAGCTAAGGAGACCAATGAAACTGCACTTTCATCGGACACTTCATCTCTTCTTCTTCTCCTCACTCAGAGCGTCAATCATGGTTTGAATGTTGATCATAGAATTTCTGAGTCGTTTCTAAAGGGTATTTCTGATAAAAGATCTGCCACTAGAAGAGTTTGGTCAATATGTCTCGGCGAGCTTTACTGGGAAGCAGCACCAGCTGCACTCACCTCCAATTTGTCTTCTCTAACAGATATTGTTTTTCCGCAGCTATATGCGACATGGGACAGTATTATTTCAAATTCTGTTGTGGCATCACAATTGGAGCATGTAACTTGTGCACATATTTTCACTGCTATATCCAGATCTAAGCTGGCTGAATCTAGTCCCGAGATTAAGTCAAAGATTCAACAAGCAAAAATTCCTCAAAAAGTCTTAGCCATAGAACCCAAGCCATCATTTCTCATGAATCCCCGTGTCTATGGTAAGCTTACAAGTGATGATGAATGTAAATGGTTTATCAGGGCTCTTGTTTCTCATGCAGATGATCTCATCTCGATAGAAGCAGAATCACCAATCTCAGTCTCATGGTCACAAGCGTTTATATACTGTATCTGCTCATCAGCTTTTAAATTCAATTTACGGAAGGATGCAGCACATGAATTATCAAAAATATACTTACTCAATCCTTGTCATATATCCAAGTTAATAATTACTGGTATCTGGCGATGGATTCTATCTACTGAGTCCAAAGAAAAAGATTCTGCTGCTATGATTTCTCGGACGGGAAATCATAACCTCCACTATGTTGTTAGGTCCATTTGTCCTATCTTTCAAGCCAGCCACCTTGAGAGAACTAAGGTGAGTGAACCGACACGCAGACAACAGATGATCTCATTACTGGTTCTTTCAAGGCCAGAAATTATACCTGGAATAAGTTGGATAGATCTATGCTTAAGGACCGGTGTAGATCCAGGTGAATTAGCTCTTAACTTCACTGATGAATTAATGTTCGAAATTATGAAACATACTGATGCAAACGAAAAGGTTAATCCCATTCACAATTATTGAAGTAACAAAGTTTGGCCTACTAAATTCCTATAGACTAACGTGATGCCTCCTGCATTTGTAAAAGAAGCTGCATATAGTGCAGCAGCCGAATTAGCGTTTATTGCACCTGAAAAGATGACAAATGTAATTATGAAACTTGTACAACAAGATCTGGATACAAAGTCGCTCTCAAATATCGGTCCAACCGAGGCGGCAATCTTTCGTACCGAAGAAGGAAATGTATTCGTCGATGTTATTGCTTCTAATTCTAAATCTTACTACCCAAACAAGAACGTGAAAGACTACGATATTTTAAAATGGGAAGATGAAGTCAGAGCTCAACTATCCCAAAAGTTTGCACAAAAAAAGAAGCTCACTCCCGAAGAAAAGTTAAAAGTTAATGACCAAATCAAGAAAGAGGCTAGGATCCGGCAAGAAGTTCGTATTATCGAAGCTAAGATCTTACGGGGTTCGGGGATTATCCGAAATCTTGTGAATGGGCCTCCGACTGAACCGAGTCTCTGGATTAGAACTGCAGTTAAATCTCTCCTAGATGTCATGAAATCAGGCTCTAGCCTCATAACGGGTAGCGTTACTTCCGAAGTTTACATTTCTTGTGCTCAAAAGCTTCCAAATCGCATTGGTGGACTTGGTCTTTTTATAGGTATTGCAAGCCTGAGAGCTTTAAATATCCAACAGCTACCTGAAAATCTGATCCAAGAACCACTCGGACCTCTGATAACCAGGGTCTTGTATAGACTACGATTTTCGGGGGAGCAAAGACCTTTCGATAATGTATCGTTAATATATATTCTACCATTGATCCTTTTAGTTCTTCAGAACGGTGGATTTGGTGAGAGCGATGATGCTGATGCTCAAGTCGTTCTATGCTTAGAGTTTCTTTCTTTTCATACAGATTCATGCGCGGATATAGCTGTTCCACGAGAAGATGTACTATCTGTTTTGATAACATCTATGCAGATATATAACCAGCACTACAAAATTCTTAAAGACTGTTTGGCAGATTTCTGCAGGTGCATTGCACCAAATATTACAAGGTCCGAAATAAATATACTTTTACGTGGCTCTATCGTTACACAAACTCCTGTTCGGACTGCGGTATTACAGTCTATTAGTGCTGATATTGATCTGACTGAATTTGAATTTTCTGATGAGATTTGGCTTGCATGTCATGATGATAAGGAGGAAAATGCTAGGTTGGGTCGTGAGATATGGGATGAAAATGGATTTGAGCTTACGGAAATTTTACCTTCCAAAATGCTCCCTTACCTAGGAGAAAAAGATATCCAAATTCGAAGAGCAGCTTCCAAAGCACTGTCGGAAGCTATAAGGTTTCAGCCACACACATTTTCAATAATTCTAGAAAACTTGAAATCTTCCTATCAAGACCTGGCTATGCCACTTTCACCCCAGCTTGATGAATATGGTATGCCCAAAAAATTAGATCACTCTGATTTCTGGGAGCCTAGGCATGGTGTAGCCCTTGCAATGAAAGAGATAGCTACAATTTTTGATGACAAATTGTTAGACTCCTTTATCTACTTTTTGATTGAAGCAGGGCCTCTCGGCGAAAAAAATCCCAAGGTTAGAGAAGAAATGATAGAAGCGGGAATATCAATTATTACTTTACAAGGAAAAAGCAACGTCGAAGGTCTTATGAAGACGTTAGAGCAAACCATAGTCGCCCCAGATAAAGGTTCTGAATCTGCCGATCGTGTTAATGAGGCTGTGATAATAATGTACGGCGCTTTAGCTCGTCATTTAAAGGTCGGGGATCCTAGAATATTAAAGGTGGTCAATCGTTTGCTTGAAACACTGGGCACCCCATCTGAAGTGGTGCAGTATGCAGTGGCGGAATGCCTCCCTCCACTAGTCCGTGCTTCTATTGATAATACATCGGAGTACGTTCAATATGTTCTAGATCGACTTTTTAATTCTAAGAACTATGCTGGGCGACGTGGCGCTGCATACGGACTTGCAGGTGTAGTTCAGGGAAAGGGAATATCTGCTCTTAGGGAATACCGAATAATGTCAACTTTGAAGACCGGTATGGAGAATAAGAAAATTTCAAGTCATCGCGAAGGCTCACTATTAGCTTATGAACTTCTCTCGTCAATACTTTGCCGAGTTTTTGAGCCCTATGTAATTCAGATAGTTCCTCAACTTCTTGCGGGTTTTGGGGATATCAGCACTGATGTTCGAGATAGCTGTCTTGCGGCAGCAAAGGCTTGCTTTGCACAATTAAGTTCCTTTGGAGTTAAGCGTATATTGCCGACTTTGTTAGAGGGTCTTGACGATTCACAATGGCGAATAAAAAAAGGTGCCTGTGATCTTCTGGGAGCAATGGCTTTTCTTGATCCGCAGCAACTTGCCAAAAGTTTACCTGAGATTATTCCATCATTAACTGGCGTTCTCAATGACAGCCATAAAGAGGTGCGGACCGCAGCTAATCGAAGTCTCAAACGGTTTGGGGAAGTTATCAACAACCCAGAAATTAAGAGTCTCGTTGAAATACTTCTAAAAGCACTCAGCGACCCAACAAAATATACTGACAATGCACTAGACTCGTTAATTAAAGTATCTTTCGTTCATTATCTCGATGCTCCTTCGTTAGCTCTAGTTGTCCGAATCTTAGAAAGAGGATTAGGAGACCGATCGGCCACAAAAAGAAAGTCAGCTCAGGTAATTGGAAGTCTTGCTCATCTTACAGAACGCAAAGATCTTGTAGCTCACCTACCAATTCTCGTCGCTGGTCTTAAAATAGCAATTGTTGACCCGGTGCCAACAACTAGAGCCACTGCTTCAAAAGCTCTTGGATCTTTAACTGAAAAGCTTGGCGAAGATGTTCTTCCAGACCTTATTCCTAGCTTGATGCAAACACTTAGATCTGATACTGGAGCTGGAGATCGTTTAGGATCAGCGCAAGCTCTTTCAGAAGTACTTGCGGGACTGGGGACCACTCGCCTCGATGAAACCTTGCCTACAATATTACAGAACGCTTCTTCCTCAAAGCCCGAAATACGAGAGGGTTTTATTTCCCTGTTTATATTCCTTCCAGTATGTTTTGGAAACAGCTTTGCGAACTATCTTACCAAAGTTATTCCAGTCATACTGCAAGGTCTTGCTGATGAAGTTGAATCAATACGCGAGACTTCTCTTCGTGCAGGACGCCTTCTTGTAAAAAACTTTTCAACAAGATCGATAGAACTTCTCTTGCCTGAGCTAGAAAGAGGGCTCTTCGATGACAATTATAGAATTCGTCTTAGCTCCACCGAGCTAATCGGCGACCTATTATTTAATTTAACTGGGATTAAAGTCGAGACAGAGCAGGATGACGAAGATACGTACGAAGCAGTTGCAGCGTCTGCTTCTTTACTCGCAATTCTAGGTGAGGAAAAAAGAAACAAAGTCCTGTCCGCGTTATATATATGTCGCTGTGATACTAGTGGCTTAGTTCGCACTGCTGCAGTGCGTGTATGGTAAGTACTTACGCTTCATCATTAGTAATATTCTTTTACTTCATCTACACCTTATAAATCAATTGATGTTAACTAGTTATACAGGAAGGCTCTTGTCGCAAACCCGAGAACTTTGAAGGAACTTATTCCCACGTTAACAAAGCTTATCGTGGACCGTCTTGGATCTTCGCCTGAGCAAAAGGAAATTGCAGGAAACGCGCTATCAGAACTAGTGCGTAAGGCAGGTGATGGAGTTTTATCAAGCCTACTTCCTGTACTCGAAGAAGGGTTAAGGTCAACTGATGCAGATGCTAAACAAGGTATCTGTATCGCACTCAGAGAATTAATCGGGAGTGCTTCTCCTGAGGCCTTGGAAGATCATGAAAAGACACTAATTTCAGTTGTTCGTATTGCTCTAATCGATCCAAATAGCGCCGTTCGTGAGTCTGCTGCAGAAGCCTTCGACTCATTGCAGCAAATACTTGGAAAACGTGCCGTCGATCAAGTACTACCTTATCTATTGAGTTTACTTAGAACAGACTCCGATGCAGAAAATGCGTTAGCTGCGCTTCTAACGCTACTAACTGAGACAACAAGATCCTCAATCATCTTACCAAATCTCATTCCAACTCTCGTGGCCATACCCATCTCCTCATTTAACGCCAAGGCATTGGCGTCTCTTTCTATGGTTTCTGGATCTGCTTTGACGCGGAAACTACCCATTATCTTACATGCTCTCGTTGATAGTATAGTATCTTGCCAGGACGAAGAAATCCTTTTAGATCTCGAGGCTTCTCTTGACGCAGTTATTCTTTCCATTGATGAGTTTGACGGGCTCAATACAGCAATGAGTGTTATTTTAGCTTTGGTTAAGCATGAGGACTATCGAAAAAGAGCTACAATAGACCAGCATCTTGCCAAGTTTTTTGCCTCAGCTACAATTGATTACTCGAGGTACAACCAGGAAATCTTAAGAGCGCTTCTAAATTCCTTTGACGATAGGGATCACAATGTTGTGAAAGCTGCCTGGGATGCACTCAACGAATTTACAAAGCGTCTACGGAAAGAGGAAATGGAGATGCTTGTAATATCAACGCGACAAACACTCAAATGCGTTGGCGTGCCTGGAGTAGATCTTCCAGGTTTTAGTTTACCAAAAGGAATTAATGCCATACTCCCAATTTTTCTCCAGGGACTAGTGAATGGTTCCATAGAACAAAGAGTTCAGTCAGCGTTAGCAATTTCAGACGTCATCGAGAGAACAAACGGAGATTCCCTGAAGCCGTTTGTTGCACAGATTACTGGACCGCTTATAAGAGTCGTGTCAGAGCGCTCGGTTGAGGTAAAAAGTTCAATCTTATTTACTTTGAACAACCTGCTAGAAAAGATTCCGGCTTTATTAAAGGTAATTTTAAAAATTTCATCTCATACAAAGGTACTAACTTATCTTGAGCCCTTTTTACCACAACTACAACGAACTTTTGCAAAGTGTCTAGCCGATACTTCAAGTGAAATACTAAGGAATAGAGCAGCCCTTGCGTTGGGGACTCTAATAAGGCTTGTGTAAGATCTATTAATCCCTTCAATCTCTCTTCTCAACTAACAGTATGTTTGAAAAGTCCACGTATCGATCCTTTAATTGCAGAAATATGTATTGGTGCAAGATCTAATCACGCTGGTGTCAAATGTGCTATGTTGAAAGCACTTAATGAGATTATCAGAAAATCCGGCGCGAACATGAACGAAAGTTCACGGGCGGCTATTCTATGTATTATTGACACCGATTTTGAGGACTCAGACTTATCCATCACCATTATCATAGCGAAACTAATTGGGGTTATTATTCGATTCTTGCCGCATGAAACTGCCGCAAATCTTATTAAGAACCGCATTTTAAGCGCTCAGATTAGCTCTTCATCTATACTAGCACTAAATGCTTCTCTATCCGAGTCGCCTTCCTCGTTAATGATAAACAATTTTGGTAATGATATTTTACCTGCTATTCACAAGGGCATTGAAAGTAAGAATAATTTTATATCAGATAACAGTGTTATAGCAGCTGGCAAGTATCTGCTATCCGAGATCAGAAGCAATGATTTCGAATCCCTAAAAGCAACTTTCAAGTCACTCGCAAATGTTATTCAACCTGGAACCGCAGCAGATACCCGTCGTCTAGCTCTCGTAGTTATTCGTACAGTTTGTCGACATCACCTTAACATTGTCCGACCTCACCTATCTCTATTGGCGATTCCTGTCTTCGCCAATGTTAGGGACCCTGTAATACCAATAAAACTTGCTGCTGAGGCAGCTTTTATGGCTCTTTTTAGTGTTGTTAATGACGAAAGTAAAATATTTGATAAGTTTATTTCCTCACAAGAACTGCCACTTAATCAAAAAAATATAATGCAAGATTATTTTAAAAGGGTTGCCCTTAGATTAGCCAACACAGCTAGGGAACGAAGAGACGCTGAAGGGGGTGAGAACAGTCTTGGCCTTTCAAATGACGAATTGGACGATGAGAGAGAAATTTGGAGTATTGGAAAAGTTGAGCTTGGTGGGGAAAGCATCGATCATTGAGAAAGATTTCAAATAATTCTAGAATACCCCCAAATTTAGCTTCGTTGTAAATGTGGCTATCTTCGACACGGACCTTAAGGTAAGAAAAATTATTGTTCAATAAAAGTAACCCAGATGCTAGCTTCTTTAAAATCTGATACGTGGTCCTTTATAAACTCGAAATTCATAGTAACTTTTCGCCCAACTTCATCAGTTCTGAGGGCGTTAGTTTTGAAATTGACGTAGGTATATAAACTATTTGTTTTTTTGGGAGACGAAGTCTGAACACCAGTAAGTGGTGTCCTCTATGAACCTGGGAGTGGAATAATCTCCATGAGCCGAGAGTCAGTCACGACAAAGAGTGTTCTTGGGAGTTTTCGTAGAGATAGCGATCGAGAGGAGCAGTGTTGGCAGGGCTTTAGTAGAAAATGTGACCTGTAGATAATTAAAATTGCAAAATTCAACCACTTAGACCACAGACATGAACCACAAACAGGATAAGACCTCTCTGATCTTCGTATTGAAACCACCGATACTCTCCACCATCTCGAATTTTCCTGGGAGACCTCACCCACCTAAACTCAACTCGCGGCCATCTACAGAATCGTCTCGCCACCAATCGAAATACTATAGAATCATAAAGTCATACTCACAATATAAGATACAAGTGGATATTTATGCCGTAGCAACTCTTGCGTGCATTGAAGGTACTGTCAAAGTACCGGCCTTATATTTCGTCTTTACTTCGGCCAAGGACACCAACAACACGACCTGCGGCGAATCACCACCTACGAGATACGCACGAAGTTACGCCAGCACATTATCTAGAGCATTCGATAAAGATAGAGGCATCGGTGCTACTGTCATATGCTCTTCGACTCATATTCAGCCTCCATGGTTAGGGGTGCAGTAGCAATAGGATAATGCCGGAGAGTTGGAAAGTTTACAAGGTTTCTGAGGTTGCGATAACAACTGAAAGATTATATAGAAGCTATATTGGAGGTTTTGAAGGGAATAAAAACTGAGAAGCACTCTGTTGGTGACTTAATGATACTTTCAATGAAGAAAACGACCCCCTGGACGAGACGAGGAGATTCTAAGATAATGCATGAATGGGACAGAACGTAGAGGGCAGATTAGAGATCATGAAGGCGTGAAGAGCTCTTGCGAGTGTTGCCAAAACTGAGGAGTAGATTGCGCTGAAGCGCATAAAGTTCGCATTCTCTTAAGGTTAGACTTGTGATGTTCAACACATGGGTGATGTACCGGCTAGTGAGCCGATAATTGTCCTATATCACGTGGTGTTAATCACGTGCCTCACAATTCTGTGAAAGGCGAAACTTCACTCTAGTTTATTCTGAACATGACTAGAGGATTCTAGCAACTGGCATTGAGACTATGAACTGGTATCAGGGAAACATAACAGAGGCTAGTATCAGACAGGAAGGAATATTCTAGATAGCCTAATAAGTGTATAAATAGTTGAGTTAGGACACACATATTGTGGTATAGAAAATAATAAATAACCTTCGTATATTTGATCGCCCCAGCATCTATACCTCGAACTGTGACAGGTGAAGTCAGAAGTTGTCCTGTCAACGAGGTGGGACGGGACTAATGTACTTAATGGTGATCAACCTTACCCAGCCCGGCCCAATTTGTACTGAAGCTTCCACAGAAGTGTGGAGGGCTACGACTGTCTAACACGTTAATATACAAACAAACAAACAAACCATACCGTCGATATTTTTGCTCTTATCATCGAAATTTTACTGGAGCACTGTGGGGTTACTGGTGATGTAGCGAATAGACTCACTATCTGCTCAGTATCCAAAAAATTAAATGGATATGTGAAGACATGAAATACCTTGATATCCTCTTAAATGGTATCTGATCAGTTTCAACCTCTTGAGCCCACTTTTCTCCAAAGATTCATGTCTTATTGTAACAGCTGTTAAGATTAAGAATTCCTGTAGCCTACGCTGGCTAGCACAGGCAATGAAGGCAAGGGAATCTTCGGGAAGGATCTCGGAATACGAGGAGATTAGAAGATTTTCAATGAAGCTTCTGGAAGCATACTAAAGGTTCATGAGGACAACAGGTGTATCAAGAATCTTCTACGGTATTGTCGAGGATTCCATGTTACTCTAGTCATAGGGAGAACCTTACAGAAGAGGAGTATCTCAGTGTATATATTTGTATTCTAGCTACAGGAATTCTCTCTCTAGAGAATTATAATTAATATACTGTACCTACAAGATCGCCCAAGCATATTGCACTGAAACCGTGACACTCATGCATTTTGTACTGAAACCGTGACATTTAACAGCTGTCTCTATCAGCTTGGAGAGATTAGTCTCGGCCACTTACTTCTTACACCCAAACATCGGATCTAGGTGGTCAAGCTATGTTAATATTAGGATCAAGTGTACCCTCTTCATTATGAATCGGTGGTCGGAATTAATACACGATCTTTTACCATTTCCATATATAGACAAGAAAAGAGGCATATAGAAAGTAATGCTTTCTACTTCCATGAACCAAGGATTTTGATCAATTTTAAATTTAATGTTAACATGCTGTAAACGTCGGCTTTACCAATGAAGTATCCAGACTATGGGATGAGATGGACAAAGTGGTGATAAATTGAGAAATTAGAGGGGGAAAGGTGCCATTTTTGACACTGATGGGTTTGTTTTTGTTTTCATTGTGCTACTTGAGTTAGTAACCATCTAGCACATTGAGCACTTCTCTGACCCAGGCCATACCTTCTGCAGTGATCCTATCATTTTTTATCAAGAAAATAAGATATCTGAAAACTCATGGATAGCTATCTAGCTCAGTAGTTACCTATTAGATTCAACTCTCACTGTAGTCAGTAATGCCGATATTGAGTCACAACTCTTCAACCAAAAGCAGATTTATAACCCCCTCCCTAGAGATGCGATTCCAATTACTCACACGATGATGTGGACATGATTATGATGCGGAAAAAAGGAAAGATGTCGCGGCCCCTAACGATAAAAAGACAACCATAAGCTCTTGTCATACCAGAACACATGCTTCATACTTCCAGACAAACAAAAACCCACAAATACAAAAACTCTTTCTTCATTGAGAAAAATAGAAATGGACTTTTTGACAAAATCAACTCCCTAAATCTTTATTTCTAACCATATTAACCAAGAGAGCATCCAAACCCAACGAGTTTCTCGACGGCCCCACGTCCATAGCGACTTTTGAATGCTAGGCTAAGCTACTTCACTTTAGCCAGTCATTTTCAAAATTTCTGGCATCTTTTTACGGTCTCCAGCCAGTTTTGCGGCGCGAAAAAGGGGTGAGCCAGGGCGCTAGGAAGATGAAGAGATGCTCTTAGTTATACAAAGATCTGCTAAACCCTGCTGACTGGCCCCTTCAAATGTTTAAATGGATAGCTTTGACATCAGATTTAGTTCAGATGTTGGTATTAGAAGAAGCCTACGTCCAGTGGCTTTTGAGACGTTTTTCTGTAGCCACTTACCCGCAAATGACCTTTATTATTTTGACTAGAGGGGAGACGTGATAATCGGATAACAGCTGTCCAAATATTTTCTCAATTCTAGAATTGTTGGGGTAACACTGTTAGAAAGAAGTTATTGTGGAGGCATGAATACTCCCAGTCTGCATGTAGAAAAGGCCTATATGTCCTCTGATAGTCATATAATCATGCAGAGAGTAATGCTAATCAGTCTGTTGGTAAATATCTCACAGTGCTAGTGTACATGGATTACAGAGAGAAAGTTGGATAAACAGCATATTAAAATTTTCCTTTGGCAGATAACGTTGGAGGAAAATCAACTACACTAAGAAAGTATGTACTTCTCAAGGTGGTATTTTCGAATGAAATATAGATGATGAGTGTCTGAGGTTAATTTTTCAATAGGTTGTTTCTTGTTACTCGTCCTATTCAGTATATAATTTGCAGAATCACAAAGGCAGAAAGCTATATTAAGAATTGAAAAAGCTTACAAGCCACTAAGCCCACAGTTGCGCCACTATCGCACATCTCAGCTTTGTTGAAGTTATGTGCTTGAGCGAAGACGGAGGTAAGAGCGGATTAAGCGTTGGCGTTTAGACCGATACAGTAAGGCTTATATGAAGCTGTAAAAGAAAGATTTGAGTAGAGACAATAGTATTGGGATGTATGGTTCTGGGTAAACTTAGATCATAAAAGTTAGATTACGTGTGCGCATATCTTATCATCTGTGGGTTTTGACTAGTATTTATCAATTTCCATGGATCATAATTATAATTTTTATCTGAATTCATTTAGCCAGATTTGGCGCCCTTTGGGCCCATGCAAGTGGCTATAAACTCTACTTATCAGTATTTTACATGAGGGGGGAACCTTCCGATAAAAACCCCCTACTCCTTCAAATTATTTCTATGGTTCCTCGTTAACCTACAGGAAGCACAATGGGCCATTACTTAGAGACAGAACTTGCTAAAGTATACCTCGGCATCCTTCCCTTTTCCTCGCTTACTGAAAATGAATGCCTGTGGTCTTCAGGTTGACCCCGATGGTGCTGACAGTGGTTGTATTGCTGGAACTAGGACCTGTTTCCGCGGGCATCCTATTATGATTGGTATATGATTCGGGAATGTACACTTGCGCTGGAGCAGCTAAGACAGCATGTGGAGAGATGTCTTCACTAATATGCAGTAGTGAAGTGACTACGACAATTGTTATGTTACAGATTGGGGGAAGCTCGCCCCTTATCCCCTAGCTTGTTCGCTTGTAGACCGATCACGTTACCAGTATGCAGCGCACCTAAATGTGCTTCTAGCTGAGCAGCCATGCCATTTATCCTATATAAACAACTCATCTCTCATACGGCACACATTACTACTTGTAATGTAGTTATGTAGGGACTGGATCTCCTACATGCGCCATAATGCCATGCTGCCATGATAACTAACTATACACCAGCTATTAGATATACCATACTACATAGCTTAGCATAACACATCCTGGTCCCCTT